CGATTTTAACGAACGATGTTTGACGTTCATTCACATCAAACAGCCTTCTGTGGATGAACTTTCTGATTCATTCATTTCTTTTATAATTTATTTTTATAATCTGTGCTTTGTATTCATCAATATTCCCATCGACAAGAACAATTCGAAAAATTCCCGTCAATTATAATACACTTATCTTTTCAACGAGATGACTGCACCATTTTTAGAACGATTTTGTGAGAAATGAGAAATATAAGAAAACGAAGATGGAATAATCAGAAATAATGAAATTCTCCATCTGGATCGCCCGTAATTTCTCGTCAATGAAAATTGTTATTGTCATACGTAGAGCAGAGAATTAAGTATAATGATTGTTATTCTGAACTAATAAAAGTGTTATAATTCATGACCACTCAAATTCTTATTTGAATCTCATGGTCGGATATGAACAGTTCTCTTTGGTGATTCTGCTTTGAGAAACAGATCAGCTTACTGCATAATTTCAAATGAATGCACCAGCTAAATGACATTTTACATATAATAAGCGTTATATTATAAATAATAAGGGTTCCATGATCAATTTGCGAGGAGCAATAATTCGAGGGTGTTGAGACCAATTATTCGATACTGCTGTGGCATGTTATTTGCATAATAAAACTCTAATACATTAATCTGTTGCTCACGAGTCATTGTGCATTAATCAACGATTTGCTTGCAGTGAGCTCCAGCCTCCACCCAGCATGAACCCAAGTACAGGGATTAGCCAGAACCTGAATCAGTCACAGCTCCTAACCAAATCTCAGCCTGAACATCAATTATATTTCTACTGATTAAATGACAAACCGTAAGTAATTAACATGCTAATCAAACGGATGTGAAGTTCACTGGAAATGAGTAGTGTGCTTTCGTTAGCTGTCTGAAATGGATGAATTAACACATTTCCGATCTATTTATTTATTCGCACCAATTGCGTTTCACAGTAATACGACTTCTGTTCGTAATGAATGAACATAAAACACAAATACGATTCATCACTCGAACAACAACTCTGTATGCATTCATCTGATCTATTCGAATCAATACCACTCTTCAAATCAGTTTTGCTTATGCTTTCGTTAGCTGTCTGAAATGGATGAATTGCCATCAACACTTTTTAAAGACAAAAATGCACTCAACGAGTCATTACTGACCACATCCGATATGGCTATTAGACTTCACTTTTGCTCATCATTCCAGCTAATCTTCATGTCTTCGCCAATCACATTAATTGCCATCAACATGTTCTCTAAAATCAAAAAGTAATCTTCGTGTGCGATAACTTTCGTTACAGCTTCATCAACATTGCTTTTTAAAGACATTTCTCAATATGGACTACATCTTACTTCATTCCTTGAGGATTCCGTGCAAGAAATTGAGAGTATTCATGAAGATTTCGAGACGGTGCTAACTGAAGTGTTCGTTGCTATTGCTTCTTACGTCAGCTGAATGTTTGGTATTAAAACTGAATGTTGTTTAGGAGTTAACACCATCAACGAAACATATAAAATGCGATATTCATCCAATTGTTAATGTCCATTTTACAATTATTTCATCTTCGTTGTATAATAAAATGTGCATCATTTAAACCATTCGAATAGATTAGCTTATGCTTCGCAAAATTGTTACGTTTCACGGTCTGCAAGGACTAGAATACACTCTGTCAGCAAGCACCGAGCATATTCAACAAATCTTCATTGGTTTATAAATTATGCGCACAACAAGACTATCATCCACTTTAAAATTATACATTTTTCGTTCTTCACATAGTTTATGTAGCAATTGGTGAATGTAAGATTCATAGCTTATTGTCAGCTTAGATCGCTGCTATCGATTAATCACGTCCTACTGTTTGGTTCGAGTACGAAATCATATGATCCGAAGCAAAAAAGGAACAGTTCACTATTGCTAAGGACAAAAATCATGTTTTCATTGTTTCCTTTAAGACGCTATAGAAACTTTCCGTGTTACAAAATCGATGTTTGAAACAAAAAAATTGCTGGTGCAGGAGCCATTTTAAATCAAATTCCCTTTGAAAGCCGAATCAACAAGCGAGTCTTGTGGATTCCAGTGTTTTGTCAAGCACGATTTTCGCGATTTGCCATTCGATTTTTCATCAGCACAATCTCAATCAATAATCATCTCTTGACCAAATTGCAATGGCTATTGATTTAATTTCATGATTTGCTGATGATAGGCGATTACGGCATAATCCAGAAAGATTCATTGCTTCGAAATGATCAGGAAATAGACGATTTCATCGATTACTGTCAGCGCTCACTGCCAAATGTTTTATGCGAAGAAAGCAATCTATAATATTTGAAGCTTGATTCGATTTGCACGCAATCTTACAGTTCAGAGATGCGCTTTTATTGATTTATCATTTCTTTCACACATCTCTTCCTCTGAAACAGCAAAACTTGCGATTGTCGATACCATTGCTGATGCCTTTTCATTCAATGTTCCAATGAATTTTTATCCTAATTCTTCAAAAAATTTTTTGCAATCTCACCGATTATTTGAGCACCCTCATTAAGTGGTCACTTGAAGACAGCTTATCGGTAGCAGTTGGTGAAAATGAAGATATGTTAACAGACATGCGCCATTCCTTGTTAAAATATCTTCATTCTCATTTGGTTATGGAGTTTGCGAAGTGAATCATTTCAAGTCATCGTTACCGTTCCACGTTCTTTTTTCATCATTTCCCTCGCTTCTGATCAAACTTCATGATCCTGAAGAATTATTTATTTTGCAATTCTCTTATTGATGAAATTACTGTAAGTGCTTCTATCTAATTCTTTAATTCCCAATAAATTTTCTTTCCTTTGTCCAGGATTACTCATCACAAACTTTGATTCATTGTGAATTGTTTCGCAAATTTTTGACTGTTTTTCAATCCCGGGAACAAAATTAAATCTTGGAATCGTTGTCAGTCCCCGCATTGAAAAACGATCATACGCGAAAGATGAAGCAATGATGTTTTCGTCACAGCGCGGACCATAGAAATCATCATGGTTAATGAGCCAGTGAAGCGGCTGAACGCATGGAAACAACGATACAAAAACATGAATAGAACATTTCAGGGAATTGCACTGTTTGTTTCGTGCATTCACCGTACACCAGATGCCTATAGCATGATAGATGCCGTCTGATTGCTTATGAGATACATGTGTGATGATGTCAGATATACATGATGCGAATGAATTGTACAGTTCAATCAGCACATTACTGTTTGTGCTTTATCCTTTCATTCAATTTTTCGAAAATTGTTGACGAAAACTGAAGCAACAGTGATGTATGGCATTGCGAAATTTTTGTTCACAGCTATTTGAAGAAGGAGATGGCTCTTTTATGCAATGATTTATCTGTTTATTGTCGCTTGGATCGTAACCAACAAATATTACTGAAGCTGGAACGGTTGATGTGTAACTGAAGATGAGCATATTACCAAACTTCTATAAAATGCCCTATTTTGTCATATTTCGAAATCCCAGGATCTCTGCGATAATCCTTTAGACAAAACAAAACCACGTTGCACTCATCATATTCAGTCTAACACAATGAAAAGTAACAAATCTGTAAAAGTACCAATTCCTTCCTTTGCTCATAATAATTTTCATTACTTTTATTATTCCATGTCCTTGCTTCCTTGTTTATCATTGTGATTATTACTGTTATCATCATTACATTCTCTCTTCGATTCCCCAAACTGTGAACAATTTACCAATGCATCTAATGGAATTCGGAGTATTTTTCTTCATCTGATTTACTGATTTTTCATTCTTCTAAAATAGTAACAGTGTGAATTCAATCAAAGCAAAAACGAACCGTAACAATCTTTGCATCACACTTGCATTGATCATTATAAGAATGAAGTGATCGGTAGTAACCATCATGAAGTGATGTCTTGAATTTGAAGCAAAATAGAGCAACTGAGAACTAGGTTACATTGTCGCCTCTTTGGTTCAAAAGTTTCGCACTTCGGATACCAGCTGGGCTTGCTAATTCTCACTGCGATTGTGCTTCATTTCGATAGAATTGGTTGAGGATTAATTATTTCGTTGCAGATTTTAAAATTCAGTAAAATTCATTCAGTAAAACTCCGAAGAATTCTCTGAATGCTCAATAGTGAGGACAATCTAATTTGCAGTTTCTATCCTCGTAATTGAGCTGCCTGAATACAGCTGTAAAGCTTGTTAAACTTGTTAGATTTTAAGTTAAGTTAGGTGAGATAGGTAACGTTCAAAAAAATTAAAGTTAATGTTAAACTTGTTAAACATATTGCGTTGTATTCAGTTAACGGTTCATATGAGAGGAAGTGACAACAATAACAAAATTAATCAGAGAATCTTTTTTTTTGATGTTAGGGAGATTCTGATCGGTTGCAATCAGTTTTTTCTCTTCAGTCAGTTGAAATGAATAATTATTTGATCAGATGCAAAAAGGTTTAGTCGATCGAATCATTTCATCCTGTCTGCCAAATCTGAATATTTTTACCTATTTCATCAGATGTGCAACCAGTCGAGACGGGCACCGAGCTGATCAAATAAATCAAATAAAGATCAAATAAAGAGCTGATCAAATCCATCATGATATCGAATTATAATGCTAAAATTAAAATATGCCATCTGTATTTGTTCAAATGGTGTACTTTTAGCATATTCATTGGCAGATATTTTTTTCGTATTTCGTCTCGAACGTCATCTATAAAAAGACTTACTNTCGTCACTGCTGAGATGAATCTTCAACTTTTTGAAATCATTTGCGTATGCTTAATCTGCACTCAAGGTTGTATTTAAAGTACTTTCGCTTTGATTAATGCACCATTGAGCGATCAGTTGCAAGAACACTTGTATTTACATATCTACGAGGGTTCTTCCATTTTTTTGATAGATATTCATGGAGCTGAGAATTATCCATTCAAAATTTATCAGACCAAAGGAAGATAGGTCGTTATCAATAACTACTAATTCATCAGTCTGCAGATCTGTCCTCATAATCAACTCTTGACTTGCAGTTTAAATATTTCAGTGCATGTATCTGGTCACGGGCACTGGAGTTATGATAGTCCAACTGGTCCAGATCATTGGGGAGGTGTCTGCAAAACGGGTTTGCGACAATCACCCATCGATATTCAGGCTGCAGATCTTGATTTCGAGCCAATGCCACGAATTCATTTCGTTAATTATGCCCATAGAGGACCGATAAAAGTTGAAAATAATGGCCATACAGGTTTTTGTTGAAATAATTCGTTCTGCGGCTAGTATGAAGCACCGATTTTTTGAATCAAAACTGTTTTCGTATATATACAGTCTGTACAGAGCATTTAGATAAACCTCGAAAGACTGGTGCTTAACATAAAAACCACTTCATTGAATTTTTTGTGTTGTAAATTTGATGGGAACTAAACCTAAGTGATACGCAGTGATGGTGAGTGGATTTGATAAATGGGGTGATAAAAGACCGTATATATACGGCGGAGGATTGGATGCAGAATATGAATTAGAACAGTATCACTTCCACTGGGCACAGAACGATTCGGGCAGTGAGCATACTCTGGCAACGTTACATTACCCTGTTGAGGTTATATCTTGATCTTGCATTCATTTTTACTTAATATAATATTACAACGATGCGATTCCTTGCAGCATGAAAAAGTACGATGGAACGTAAGTGAGTGAAGTTGATGTTGTAACGTAGAGAGAGATGTGGATAATGAAGAGCAAGTATAATTGATATGTTCAGATCCACTTGGTGCATAAGAAGAGAGGCTTGGTCGAAGGTGATAAATTAGGCGTTGATGGGATCGCAGTTGTTGGTATTTTCGGTGCACTTGGTAACAATCCAGGACCACTAGCCGATATCGAACAAAGTCTGCGAGCAGTTACAACTAATGGTTGGTCGTTGATTGCTTGGAACGTTCATGCATGCACCGATTTATATATCTCTATCTAACCTTCCACATAGCGGGGTTCATGTCGTAAACGTAATCGCCATTTCTGTCAGTAGTTGCCATGTAACGTATCGCCATGTCAAGCAATTAATAGGCACTCGTCAACGATGAAAAATTTCAAATTTACCAACAAATCCACTTATAAATCTCGCTCTTAACAGTTCAGATAAAAACATTCACAGAGCAACTAGCATACACTCACTTGGCGTATAAACATCTCAACAAGAACAGTTGAAGTGCCTTCGGCACATGCTGCAATGAACCCTTATTTTAAGTGCTGATCACTTTTAGTGTCCGTATGATAACATCGTTAATCATTCTTAAAAGCCCACTGAAAAGCTGGTACAGACGCCTCAGTTTCGTGAATGAAATTAATCTCCTGGAATGAGATTAGTGTTTTTAGTACTTTATTTAATTGTTCCAGAAAGAATACGAGCCTCAGCAAGTAACAATGAAAGGCAATTAAAAACACTGGTCAGCGATGAAAAAACTGAAATTTACCAAGTCCATATATACCCTTAATTACACCCCTGATACCTTCAACTCACTTCCCAGGAGGTAACTTACCCATATGAGAAACACTGATATAAGCTAGTTATCGATTATTTCTTTAAAAGTCATTGTGTTCTAAAGGACATTTCTTCAAAGAGGTGTTCGTAGGGGAACAGGGTCCTCGTCGGAGACTCCAATGGGGAACGCGGAGAGCGCTCCCCCTCCCGCGCAGTTTGCCCTCCGACTTTTTTGTGCGGACTCCCTCGTCCACTTTCGCTACCCGTCGGAGACATGCAAATATCGTTCTCTTGATGAATTTTCCTCATTCATTTCGTCTCATTTCACTTCACAATTCAAATTAGTTTCTTATTCTGTAGCATATCCTATTTACTGGATACATTGACGAGTGTTGACAGCCGGAATCAACAATACAGCAATGAATATTATTGCTCACAATCAGCAACGTTCAACAGTCAAAAGATCAATTATTGAGTGTATTTGATAGAATGAGAATTTGACTTTAACTGTTGAGTAAAACGAATGAGAAATACACACTTTTGGTGATGGAAGCTATGAGAGCGATTACAATAGCAAGAAAATGAATGAAAACCCTGTAAAAACACCATTCACTGACAAATGGATGTGATTTCAATGAAAACTCTGTTATAACCAATGAAATCCCTCTTAGGCCTGGACCAGCTAATGATACCCAGGAAATAGGATGGCATTCTGTCATACCATAAAACTGCACGAAATACTAGTTTATCGACCCTCTCCATTGCCTGTTGATACATTCAAACTATTCAAAAATGGGTAATTACACCTCTTATGAGAACCACTGTATAGTCCTTTAATCATTGAGGTATCAAAGTAAATATTTGTGCTGCAGTACTGGACTAAATTCGAATCTATCGAGCT